TTCTTCAAGTATGGCGCTTGCTTCTTTCTTTATTTCTTACATTTATTCTGCAGGTGGGGTACAACGTTGTAACGCCACGTCAACGGAATGTTGGGAAGGTGATTCTCTGCTTCATTTTTCCCGTATCTGTATTACTCTAAATTTGAATAGCTTACTTTATCTGAAACAAATATTATTTTTTCTGTAGGTTCGTGGCTATACTTTCAATATTAACTCAGGGGCAGTAGAATCTCTCGAGCTTGATTCCTTGGGAATATCCATAATACCGTCCACCTTGGTACGAATGAATTTTCTTTTATGCAGCTACTTCTTGACCTCCTCCTATCTATCATTCTAGTCAGTAGTATGTTGCGTGCTTGACACTTGAACTTGGTTATATCAGGTCAGCACCTACGGTTTATTTGTTGAGGATGTGGTTGATGTTTTATCTGATACCATCGTTGTTCATGAAGCTGCAGCCTCACGCCTACAGAGACTTACTAAGGTACTTTGGAGTGTTCATAGTCGATTAGTCAATGTTAGAGGAGAAAATGTTTCCCTTTTGGTATTTTTCTTCGAAGTTGCCTATGCTGGCCTATGAATTTCTGTACTTTGAGACTTTTGAGTTTACCAAGTCAGATGACGAATTCTTCACCCTACCAAAATACCCTCTTTTCCTTGATTAGGAAAACCGATTCATGTGATTGAGCCATAGTTAGACTTAGTGCTGCTTGATGGCAGAAATGATAACTATTCTAACCATGTTATAATGACATTGGCCAGGGATTATGGGATGCCCAGAACATGTCTTACTCTGCAGATGAAATGCAAGATCATAGCAACTTAAGAAACACACGTGCTAAGCCGGAGTATAGCAGAAGTCGTAAAAGATCTTCAGGAAAAAAGTTAAGGAAGAAACTGAAAGAACTTGCTGATGATTGGGACCTTCCAATGGATTTCTTTTAATCTGCTGCATTTCTCCACAATGTACATCACAAGTTCCCATTTTGGTATATGTTGTTAGAGAGAGTCTGTTTTGGTACGTTGTGTCAAAATAATTGCCTCTTTGGCACCAGACTTGTTATCTGTACAGTGTCTAACACAGTCTCTGAGTTCATATAGCTGCTAATTGTATGACCAAAGTGACTATCTGTACTTATTGTTTCTTCTTGAATCTTTTTGACACAATGGCCTATGGGCTATGGGTGCAAATTTGTCACAAAACCATGTAACCTGCTTGACCCGCTCATGTTTTAATGGGTTTTGCTAGAGCGAGAAAAAGTTCAGATATGTCATCGAACTTTGAGAAAATGCTCATACATGCCATTTGTTAAAAGTTTCGGTCATCCATGTCATTTTCATTTGACGAAAAGGTTAATTCATGTCATTATTTGTTATCTAAAATGACATAGATGAACCAAAACTTATAATAGATGAAATGACATATACGGGTTTTTTCTCAAAGTTGGATGACATATTTGAACATTTTCTCCTTTTTAAACATTATCAATTAATGACGTGGCCGATGATGGCATGAAATGAAAACAATAAATAAACCAAACTTTTGATGACGTAATCTCTTCTTAATTTTTTGATTACATATTTGAGTTGTTTTCCTGTATAATATATTGATCGATTTATTTTGATCCATTTTACTTCAGCCCAAATCCATTCATTTGTCCATTGCTACCACTCTTAACTTTATATTTTTTCTTTCAAAATTAAGGACATAATTAATTATACCAACAACAACCAAGAACTTAAGTCAAATTAACACTTATCCACTTCAGTTGTTGGAACTTTCTTCTCTTTTGTGGAATAATTCTCCAACACTTATCAAATTCAGTGCTACGAACTTAAGTCAAATTAACTCTCGTTAAAAGAGACTAAATATTTTAAAGCGGAAGGAATATATACTTTATGTATATATTTACGAAGATATTTTAAAATAATTTTTTAAGCTTGAACTTAATGTTTAAATCTAATAGCATGCTTGAAAAATGCACAACATTTATGTTGACACCTTATTTATAATTTTTTTTCTCTATATAAAATGAAACGAAAGAAATACTACGATAGCTAATTACTTAATTATGCTCTAGTCGATCCAAAGAACTAAGACAAAGGAAGGTCATTTTTATATTATCACTTATCAGTCAAAGACAATTCCTTTTTAATTTTTTTTTTGAATTTTAATCCATCTAAAAAAGATAAGGGAATATAATAATATATTCTTTCATATTTAATATTAACAATTTAACTTCAAATTCAATATTTTTCTCTTTCATATAGCCAATTTCATTTATTTTAAAATATAAATTTCAAAAGTTTTCATTTTATTTAAATTTTATACTCAGTCGAAGTATAATACTTTCACGTAAATTGAAATGAAAAACCTTTTTTTATTTAATGTGGGTCCAAGGATATGAAAGTGTGTACTTTACATGCTTGACTTTAAACCACTAATTAACTATTCTTTAACGTCAATTAAAAGGTGATTACTGACGCTGACGATATCAGGGTGACAGCATCTGCATACGTCAGCAGCAACGTGTAGTACCTTGACGCTCTCTGTAGCGCGTTATCTAATCTCCATTCTCTACCCATTTTCCATGCAAAGATAAAAGTGACCCCACAGTGGGTTTTTTTCCTCCGATAAAGGCTAAAATTAAATTATTTGACTCTCAAAATTAGTACAATATCACATAGATTGGAAAAGTTTTAGTATATTTATTTTTAAAAAATTAAAAAAAATAAAAAACTAGACAAAACCTTTGTCTAATTTAGTTTAGCTATGTTTATTATCATAAAAATTGTTATTATTAATATTATAGAGTGGATAAATTTCACATAAACACTAGTTGCATACCATAATAATAGGTTGAAGAACGAAATTGTTTTCTTATTTAAAATTGTTGTTAATTTAGTCTAGACGTCAATCTATGAAAGTTTTCGAGCTCAATTCTTTCTTCTGAGAAATTTTCGATTACATTATATTGAGTTACACGTATACAAATTTTTTATTTATCTATCGTTCATATATATGTATATACGCAAGGAATAAGTAAACATTTGAGTATTTTAATATATAGAAAGATAATCACATTCTATATTAAGCTTCATCAATTCAACACATGAGAAGTGCACAGACATGTATAATTCATATTTATCAACTCAGTTATAAAAACTTTAATAATGTTAAAATTTAAGAATTATAAAAACTTGAAATATTAAAATATTAAATTTGAATACTAATTAAATAGCCTAGTGGAAACATGTTCATGATTCACAATTCAAAATAAAAGAAGAGGGTATTGATCTTTTACCAATCATATATATGTAAACTCATATGTTAATATTAATAAATCCACATTGTGATATGCATATATATAATTTTTCAAACATAAAATAATATAAAACAAATATATGAAACACAAACTAAAATATTTAAAATCATCGGATAGTCTAAAAGATATTGTTCTCATTAATAAAAAGGAGAGACAACTAGAAAGAGAAAACATACCATTAATCCAATTTTTAGGAGGTTGAAAATAATATTCAGTTCTAAACAAATTTTTAATTAATTCAGAACTAGAAGATAATCTAACTAGAACATCACGAAAAAACAATTAATAAGATGCAAATTATCATGAATGAAGAGGGAAAAGATTTTGAGTTTTATTACTCAAATTTTAAACTTCGTGCTTAGTTAAATTAACTCATATAAATTGGAATGGAGGAACTATCTAATATTTAATAGCACGCGTTAAAAATGAGCAAATAACACAATCTCACTAGTTTAGGGCTTAATTTCGTGTCCTCCTTTTAATTTTTTCAGAATTACCCTTCTGTACGGATATTTTTGAATTAATATACTGTACATTTGGGCCACAACACTAAAGGGCCGAATATTTTTGAATTAATATACTGTATATTTGGGTCACAACACTAATGGGCCGAATATTTTTGAATTAATATACTGTACATTTGGGTCACAACACTAATGGGCTGAATATTTTTGAATTAATATACTGTATATTTGGCCACAACACTAATGGGCCGAATATTTTTAAATAAATATACTGTATATTTTTGTTTAGGCGCCATTTAACATCTTCTCCAAAAGTTTCTGCCTTCTCTGTACTTTTCAAGGAGAAAGAACAATGGGTCAAAATACTGGCGATTCGGTAAAATTTTTAAATTTTTTGTTAAAACTATGTCGGATTTGATGTTTTATTTCTGAAAATGTTTCTCCAGAGTTGTTGGATTGGTATTAAAAAATTTTTGGAGCTCAGTTGGTTCTGAAATTTTAGTTGATAAAGGTTTAATATTTTTCATGCATGTATAATTTTATTTCATTTTAAAGAAATGTATATAGGTTTTGTGACATCTGATGATGATAGTACATTGTGTAAAATAAGGCATGGAGATAGAGTTTGATACATTTTAATGATATTGATGCGTAAATATTGTTTGAAAGTAAGTGATAAAGAGTAAGAGTTTGGATATATTTCTACCCACGAGTGAACGAAGTGATTTTTCCAGTTTTACTCGGAGATAAGTCTCAATCCAAACAAAAAGAAGAAAGAATGGGTGTGTTTGGTAGGAAGGAAAATGTTTTCTACGGAAAATGAGTTCTTGGTAAATGTTTTCTTGGAAAACACGTGGGTTTCTTACTTATTTTTTAATTTTTGGTAAGTAAGAAAATATTATCTCAAGAGCATTTATATGTTATATTAGCAAAACACTATGGTTGCGGGATGTGAAGGGTGAGGGGGTCGGGGTGAGGGTTGAGGGGAAATGGATGGACGGGGATGAGACGAAAAACTTGGGGTGTCACTTGTACAACTTGTTTTCTCTACTTTCATTAGAAAAGATATTCTCCAAAACATTTTGTCTAGCGAAACATGAGAAAATTGAAAAAGCACTAGGTGATTTTTTTCTAGCCAAACACACCCTAATCCCTATCTTACAAAGGAAATGCCAGCTTATCTGGACTTTCTGGTTTTCGAGAGCTTGAGTAGGAGCTGCATGAAGTGCATTAAGAACCATAATTCAAATCCTGTTAGATGCAAAAGCACTAGGTGATTTTTTTTTCCCATTTGGCTAAGCTTTGATGAACAGAGTTACGACTATATCTGGTAAATTGGAGTTGTTTAATTTATGATTTGTTCGTTTCTTTAGAATGTTCATGAATCTTAGGTCTATTCCCCTGGCTATGCGCATTAACAATAATAGACCTATTCGTGATGCAACTCTAACTGTGGCCAACTTTTTTGCGCTTTTCTTTGTGCCGTTCAATTAGTTTGTGTACATCAATGTGAAAGATCGTCGAGCACATTTCTAAAGAGTTTCAAAAATGTTGTATTGTTTTCAGGTTGGAATCTTCAGTACTAGGTTCTCTTTGCGATCCTTTCTAAAATGTGCAGAGAAGTTGACAGATAGTCAAAAGGATTCCATAAACAAGACTGGATTTGGAAATTTGCTCCTAATTCAAAGGCAAATGGTTTCCAAAACTCTGTTAGTTGAATTGATGGAAAGATGGGATCACGAGAAATGTGCTTTTGTATTTCCTTCAGGCGAGATAACCATATCTCTCCTGGATGTTATGTTAATTTTGGGATTACCAGTGACAGGAAATCCTGTTATTTTACGAGAGGATACACCTTTCTTAGACCTAGAAAGAGATTTTGGTGCTTTCCCGCTGAGCAGAACAATCACGGTTGCATCATTAGAGCAAAGACTTGATTCCCTTGCTGAGACCAACAATGAAGATTTTGTGAGGTCTTTCTTGTTATACATGTTTGGAACTTTTCTGTTTCCAAATACAAATAGCAAAGTTGATTCTCGCTATCTATATCTTCTCCGAGATGTTGATAAAGTGAACAGTTTTGCTTGGGGAGCAGCTATTCTTGCAGATGTACTTTACTGGTTGTGCAGGAGAACGCGGAAAAAATCACAATATGTTGGAAGGTTGTCTTATTTTTCTTCAAGTAAGTTTAACTATCTCTAGTCTTTATTTTTATAAACTCAACTAATTTGTCTTTTGACGACAAGTATTTATGACAAATGATATATTGTATCCACTCTATTAACTCCAAACAGAAACCTCAAGTCTTTATTGTTATTTGAATAGATATGGTTCTTTGAACACATTGACATTGCTCGTCCATGTTTACTGAACTACCGCTCTAAGTTACCCCGTGTCTGCAATTGGGGAAGTATGAAATCTCATAGAAGAGAATGGTTCGATACCAAATTCAAAGAACTAAAGAGTGATCAGGTAATAAGTTTTATAGCAGTTCTGTTCCACTTTGTCTGATCTGAATTTACTTTCTGTCTACTTTTCGTGTTGTTTGGGTTTACAGACAGCAGTAAATGAAATAAAAGTTTAGGAATATGAAGTTGAGGCTTTCTGATATTTTTTCTTTAGTGTAGTTTTTCCTTCTTTTCCTTTCCTTATATATGTACATTTTCCTTCTGTTGTTGTCTTGTTATCTTCCATTCGTAGCTTCTTAAACACACCAAAGTTTGTGTTCTCATCAACATCAAACAGTGATTCCAAAGCATAAAGAATTGTATTATGCTTTGGAAAATTAACTTCTCGTAACTCTCACTTTCTCCAGATAATTTGGATCCTTCAACCGACTTCTGATGAGTCCAAAAGTGACACAATCAAAGAGTTGATAGAAGCAGAAAAGATAAGATTGCCTGACCTGAAAACACGATCTTCAGTTTATACTTCGCCTCCTATTGTAAATCTTCCTTCCTCTTTTCCCATACATTTTTGAGCTTCAAGCTCTTTTAACGAAATAAGTTACAATAGCGATCCATTCTTTGCCAGTTTAGTTAACTTTTTGTTGATTAACTCCTTTCACTTAATAGGACCATCCTGTGACAAGTGGATGTGAGTCGATGGATCATTTAATCATTGACCTGGAAGCTGAATCAGAGAGTGAAAGTAACAGACCTCTGGCAAGCGGAATGCAAAATCTGTCTTCTGATACAGTTAGTTGTAGCAGGATCTTCTGCATGCCACTACTTGGATAAATAAAAAGAACCCACAAAGCGTTCACAAACTTCAGGAGCAAATGTGGTTATAGTAATCTGTCTTCTTATGTTTTTTGCTTATATTTGGTTTTCTTGAATATGACTAAATGCATGGGATGTTAACGTCTGTTTACGCAGGATGATTGCGAGGATGATCTGCAGAAGAAAAGCCAGACTCTAGAAGAGCAGATAGTTCATCTTAAGAACGAAATTGGTGACTTGACTATAAAGAACAAGACTCTGGAAGATCAACTATCCTCAAGTCTAAAATTTGAAGAGCAGAACAAGAAACTAATGGATGAAATTGAAACTCTGCAACAAGAAAACCAAGAACTGAGTGCATCAAAACAGAATTGTGACTGGATTACAGAAAATTGTCTTTGATGATATCACAGATGCATGGGATGATGGAGAACAATCTTTGAAGCAAATCTAAATAGTCTATTCAGATGAATTTTTGTCACCTTTTTTGTCAGATCTATGTACTGATCAAAATGTAAATATAAGTGCAGTTCATACAGTTCTGCTGATGATTAAACTTAACTGCACTTGTTCTTGAATTGTTCTCTTATTAGCTGGAAGTAACATTTCCCACATATTACTACATATGATGAAAACATACAATTGTCAAAATTTGAAGAAATTTACACATAACTACCTAAGGTATACATTCTTCTTTCGAAGGGAACTCTACCATCAAACAATGATGGTAAACATGCACAAGAAGAAGAAAACCCGAACCATATACACCAACACGCCATCATTACTTTCTTATAGAACCAAATGCAGCATGTTCAGAAGCAGTATCAACTAATAATTTAACAAGGAATACTTCAATCTCAAAACAATTCTCCCCTTTTCGACACCAAGTTTTCCACCTGTTACTAACCAGTGGCCAGGAGGATCTTGAGGCCCCTTACTCATCTCGGTCATGTCAACAAACTTAGCCAACTTATTGCCTACAATATTCTCCCCTGTAACAGAACTAGCATCGCCATTGCTATTCTCACAATTGATCTTTTTGTTCGACTTATCATTCGGGGTATGGTCCCATAGTGATCTTCGTATTGTGCATCCTGGTAGCCTTGAATACAGAAGCTTCATATACAACACATTTCTTGACCCAAACTCCCAGACACCAAGCTGTGCTCCCGTTACTATGTACACACCAGAGTGATCATCACCTATAAACGTTTCAGGACACTCAATTGGTGCAGTACTAACATGGGAAAAGTTCTTCCATTTCACTGGCTCAAACCACCTACTATCCTGCTCTTCAGGGCCCTGCCACTTTGGAGCGCCAATTGCTACATGAGTGTCCCAACATGGCAGAAGGATCTTTGGAAGGTTGGTCAGATGTTGAAGATAGATGCATAATCGATTTGACTTGGAACCTTCAAGAGTTAATCGCATGCCAGTCACAGGCTTACGCCCCACAGACACCTGTAGTAAAACAACATTAGTTCAGAACATTGATAATTTAGTAAATAGGATAAGAGAGCCCGGGATGGATTAAAATAAGACTGTCAGATGAAGATACATATAACTTTCAATATGTTCTAACCCTTGACTTCAAAATTATTCAAAGTTTATATCATAAATTACAGCTCTTTAAATCTAAATGGAATAAGAAAATCAGTAATAGGTATCACACTGAATTAAAATTGACCAACAATAAAGCTAACCTAATGGACCCTTAGGTTGTAACACTAGGACAAACATTGATTTATGATTGATAGCTTTTTTGGAGGTAAGTTTAAGTCGGACAAACTTTCAGGACAAAACTTATCATTTTCTCCATCAGTATAAAATAAATTTAATATTTCACAAAAACTCTATTTCCAAATTCAGAAATCAGCATACTTGTTCTTGGCTAACATAAAGCTTTTGTCCCATCATGCTGAACTGGAGATGCCGGCAAACAGGTTCCTTCCGCTGTTGGCCTGGAAATCTGTCCTGTACAGGGGCCCATACCCTTGGGACCTGAAACTCTAGGAAATATCTCAGCTCTTCAATTTGAGGCTTGTCTGCAAGCAATCATAAAATTAGAGTCATTTGTCTGACAATTTGAATCAAAGAAATGTCAAAACTTTGATAAAGAATATAACTTTTTACGATAACCAAGATAACTTACATTCGAGATAAAGACTTATAGCACGCTCCAAATGCTCCTTGCCTTTGATTCCTTCAAGCAGAAGAGTTATAGGGTAGAATGACATCTCAATGACATCTGGAGAAGATCTGACAGTTTTTGCCCATTGGGTGTGGCTTTGTTCCAGATCATCTCCTCCTCTTCTTCTAAAAATGACCGTGACATCCTGCATCAGATACATTGAAAGGAAAGAACCAGATTCAAACTACTGTCTTTCATTACTGGCAAGATCAGAAAAATCAAATTTTACAGATGTTTAAGAGCAATCAAGAAACTGGTCGGTCCTACAAAATAAGATCATGAATCTGTTTAAACCCCCCACCCCTCACCCACCCACCCCCAAAAAAAAAAGAAACCAAAGGTTAGCAACAAACTTAATGTGAAGAAATTTAACACTAATAAGATCTAGGATAGACACTTAAATGTTTTACATTGCGTTTTGATGTAATAATGGAAGACAGATGCACTCCGTTAGGACAAATATACGGGTCACTTCCCCAGTCAAGAAAATTCTTGCAACAGAAATGGAAAACCAAAAATCAAGAAAATAATGAGCAATGGAACTGGTTACATAAAAGGTCCCAATTCAACAAATCTGCTACTTCTATGGCAACACGATGAAGTATGTAGATAGGATTTTCCCATCATCACAGTCTTGAAAAAATGCTGGTCAGTATGATGTTTTATGGATTTTAGGTGTGGAGTGACAGCAGGATGATGACTGAGAGCTTCTAGTACCGATATGAGCAGTGTGCTTGTCCGAATATGTTCTCATATAGCCGGAAGGAGTGCATGCCAAGTAAGATGGAGCAAAGGAGGGGCCTGTCAAGTTGGTCCGCTAACGCCTTATCTTCCTATTTATAAGCCACAGCTACTTCGACATTTCCAATTTGCCATAGAGGAACTGCTTCCTGCGTCTGCCGCCATTGCAGCTAAATGGAGGAAGGAGGAGGGCCAGGGTGGCGGACATCAAACGTATTGGAATTTGAAAGCAAAGCAAGGGTAGCAATTGCTTCTCCGTGAAGAGAGAGGAGAGTCGTGATACATCAGACAATTGGCTGGTCAAGGCAGCATACCAGTATACATGTGGTAGCTTTGGAACAAAAACAACCTTCAGGACTAAACCGTAATTATGATTTTGCATCATGCTAACTGACCAAGGTACACCTATGGCAAGAAATCATATTGGAGAACATAATACGAATCTCTTGACACAATTTAATGAGACCACAGATTAAAACTAATTTGACTTGCAAATTTTGTAAAAGAGAGATGTAAAAACTAAAATTGTCTTTTACAATTAAGTTTTGACTGAAAAAGCAATTTGTAAATGAATTTGAACTGTTAAAACTTTGGAATTGTATAGAACATATTATTATTTCATAACTCTCAAGCATCTTGGCAGTTACGAACTCCGAAAACATATCCTCTACATAAATGGAGTTGGACGCGATATCTAAAAGTTTGTGGCACTATAACATGACAAAAACAATTACATGAAAAATCAATTATTAAGAGGAACAAGGGTCCTTCCTTCTTGACATTCAAATGAGCATTAGGTTCTATGACAATTCTCTTGAGAATGACCCATCAGTAGTAGAAAAGATCAAGCATAACTGTTGCACTTATTCAAAAAGCAATAAAAACTAGAAGAAAAAAAAAGAATAGAAAAGAAATGCCACAAACCTCTTTGCCATTTCCAGCAATATATGGAGCATTTGTGGGCTGGGGAAATATCCCTTGGCTATTGAATATTGACGGATCGCTAGACTGCACAATGAAATTGAGGAAAGGGATTGGGAAATTTGTGGATAAAGAAGACATCAGAAGACAAAAGACAAGCACTTTATTTGAGAAACCTTCTAAAACAACGGTTTTTGTAAAAATAACAGACAAAAAGGAATAAATTATAAAGTTTGAAAACAAAGAAAATAATGGAACTAGCCTTGTCCTTGTATTTCAATAAACCTGAACTTGTAAGGTTTTCTGTGCTGGAGAACCTCTGATTTCCAATATCATGAACATAACTTTTTATTTCCATTGTGGAAAGAGGTGATGAAAGGTGCTGTTTAACATAAATTACATCTTTACCACCAATAGTTACAGATGTAATTATGTGAGTCCCAAAATTTTCAATGAAGCTGCAAGAGGCAGGCAACCCTTGTTAGCGAATAATAGAGGTTCTAAAACTTAATTAACATGTCAACTATATAAGCAAATTTCCCTTGTCGAAAGAAACTAATGAGAAATTCTAACCTTGCTAATGCGGGTGGGTCCCAAGATGCTGGGACAGCTCTTTTAACACTTTCCTGTAACACTAGCGATGAGTTCATAAGTTGAAGCCTAGCAAGTGGTATGAAAAATCCATCCATACAAAGTGTCTTTGTAGTGGTAGCATCAAAATGCTTCGCACCAGTAAAACTGAATGCTACATTAAAGCTACCAAGAGGAGCATTGCCTGGAATATTAGCCTTTCTGTTAAAATATTCCAACATCTGCAGTCAAAAGCAGCACTAGAATAAGTAAACAAAGAAAATTATTTATTAAATAAAATTAGGAAAAGAAAAGATTAACCATATGTCGAGAAACATGCACAAGCATTAGAGAAAACAAATTAATGAAGATCCTTTTGGAGAACACGGATGAACAAGACATGGAAGACATCAGTGTGAACTACTCTGTTTTGCACTCTAAAACACGCCTGCCTCATGGATGGCATCACTGAATTTGCACTCCAAATACTCTCATCAATCAGTATAATGTCATCCGCAAATAACATACACTGAGGTACCTCATCTTGAATATACCACATCAATTTATCCACCATTAAGGCAACAGGAACGGGCTAAGAACTAATCCCTAGTGCAGCCCCATCTCAACTGGTCAGATCTCCTCCCATCATTCTCACCCGGGTTTTGGCTCCATCATACATGTACTTTATATGTAAGCTAATGGTACACCTCTAACCTTGGCATCACCAAAGGACTTCCCTCGAGACTTTGTAGTAAGCCTTTTCAAGGTCAATGAACACCATATGTAAGTCCCTCTTATTTTCTCGATATTTCTCTACCAGACTCCTCACAAGATGGATGGCTTGTTGTCAAGTCATGAATTAAAACTAGTTCTCGGAGATGGACACACCCCTACTTACCTTCACTTTCACTACTCTCTCCCAAACTTTCATTGTGTGGCTTAGCAGCTTGATACCCCTGTAATTCTTGGAGTTTTGGATATCACCCTTGTTCTTGTACAACAGAATCATTTTACTCCACCTCCATTTTCGGGTATTTTATTGAGATCTCATTTGGTCCGGTTGCTCTTCCCTTGCTCATCTTATTGATAGCACTCTTAACCTCCTCAACCTTAATACACCTACAATACCCAAAATCTCGAATTTTGGAGTACTCCAAATCTCCCAACACAGTGTCTTTGCCCCTACTAAATTCAATAATTCGTGGAAGTAAGCCTGCCATCTTCACTAATTGAGGGTCTCTTCCACTAACAACTTGTCTTCCTATCCTTGATGCACTTCACGTGATTCAGGTCTCAAGCCTTCATCTCTCTTGCCTTTGCGAGCCTGTACAATTTTTTATCTCCACATTTGTCCCCTAGTTCAACATACAGTCCTTCGAAAGTTGTCGTCTTTAATGTTGTAATCGCTAACCTAGCCTTCATTCTGTAGTCTTATAAGCTATGGTAATCCAAGGCTAGAGCCTAGAAGAGATTTGAAAAAATCACCGAGTGTTTTAGTCTCTACTGGGATTTGAACCTGAGATCTCATGGTGCTCCACCAGTGGCAGAGCTATAGTGTCCCGAATGTGTCCAATTGGACACCCTTTCGCCGGAAAATTATAAAATATATACAAGTAAAATACTACTTGCAAAGGTCAAATCTAGTACGTTGGCCCTCCTAAACACATCAAGATGCTACGACCCAGCGGTGCGAGGCTCTCTTGCTCACACTGTAGGCCTGGGTTTGAATCCCCACAGTTACATTTTGTAATCATTTTGATAGAACAATCCAATTTAATTATTATTCTAAGTTATTAACTTGTTCTTTAATTGTCTAAGCTAATTAAATTACATTCTTAATTAGAAATCTAGGTTTAGCAGCTGACTGAATTTTCGATGATTTTGACTTTTTTTATTTCTTTTCATTAAAATTTGAAATAAAACTGAAATGTTATTATTTAATTTAAAGTTAATAAACAAATTAAACTATTTCTGTAAAGCTGCTAAAAGCGAACAAAAGAACACCTCGTTTGATTTTGCTTCCATTATTCATGTCTCGTTATTGTTGTCATCACCATAGATTAGTGAAAGCTTGAAATGTAAAAATGATTTCATTTTAAGCTTAAACCCCCCCACCCCTACCCTTTTTTTTTTTTTTTGCTTTGTTAATTCGCTTTATATTAAATTAAACACAAATATTATGCAGTTTGGTTTTTAAAATTTTGGAACATTTATTCGTGAAAAAAAAGTAATATTAATTTTGTGTTGTTCAATTTTAATTTTTTCAATGCATCCATTGGTCGAAAAAAAATTGCTTGGACACCCTTCGAAAAATTCTAGCTTCGTCACTGTGCTCCACTTACTTTATTGACCACAAGACGTCAAGATCATACCCTTGAGTGCCTTCCTGCCTTTAATTTTCATTAGCACTTGTATACATAGTTATTATTAGGAACGTCAAAAACTTAAGCAGCATCAGGATACTTCCAAGGCTTTTATTCAGTGGCATGAGCACACATATAACGTGTGAGTTAGACATACATCACAAGTTAAAGAACCTAGGACAAATGTTTGGTACTTAAGTAGAGAACGGTAGAAGGTGTCAACCGAGCTTCAAACCATGTGCCAACTGGTCCACGAGGATTACATAACAACAATAACATACCATACCCAGTGGAGTACGCAGACCTTACCCCTACCTCTACCTCTCAAAAGTAGAGAGGTTCTTCCTGATAGAAGTAATCCAGCTAAAGACAAAAAACAGCATATAGTAGCAGAACACAAACAACATCGTCGAGGACTACACGGCTATAAAAGAACATTCTGATACTTCTAGAGAGCATCACTAGATTGACATTAAACAGTACAACCAACAATTCTATAATCAAACAAATCAAACACAGAGCACCAAAAAACAGTGAACTTAGAGCAGCCATACCTCATTATAATTGCAAGCACTAGAGCCGTCACGACCGCCGGACTCCTGAAAGTTATTAATATCCCTTGAAACATTAGGCAATACTAGGTTATCATATAATGAAAGATCCCTTGTATGGTCTTCATCAATCTCTACAACCCTAGAACCAGCCACCCCTTTACAGTAAAGCAACCTTGTATCATAATTCACATCAAAACCCCTTCCTAACGCCTGTGCCGCATTTAAAGCAGTATGATAAGCAGCTGCGTTTTCTTCCATTACATCCCCAAAAACTCCAATCTAAAGCTCAATCCAACGCCAACCCAAAAACCCAAATTCAATTTGAATCAAAAGGGGTGCTTCAAGAAGTCCAAAAAAGTAAAAAGTTTGAATCTTTTTTCAGATCAGATAGTCAAGAACCAAAACCCCCAAATTGTAATCTTATGAAATCAGAGAAATCAAGATTATGAGAGTCAACAGAAGTAAATCAGATTCTTGGAAGTTTGACTGAGAAAAAGATTTACCCAAAAAATGGTGAAAGAAGCAGATGTTGAATCTACCAAAGAAGATTTTGTGATTGCTCAATCCAATGGCTCTCTATTACAGTGTGTTGTACATTTTGTATTGTATGTATCTAACCATTGTTGACTCTTCAAGACATTTCTTTACTCTATTTTTATTTGGTTATTTAGACAAATTCACACGTGGCTTATACACATGAATTTATTGGTTTGACTAATATGAAATTGGGATAAAATATAATATTGAAATAATTATGTGGCTTAAAAAACCTTTTTTCTCGTTATACTTTTAGAATTTTATTGCAAATCGCGATTTCTCGATGAAAGTCTCGTTTCCAAGATAATATTAATGATGATAGTAAGTTGGGCTATACCTGGATGGCTAGGGCACGAGAGGATAGTGGTGTTATAGCGAAAAGTCTTCGGCTGAGAAAGCAAATCGATCATCGAAAAATAATTAGATTGTTTATTCTTAATCTTCTTGTATGTTGATTTTCTTTTTTTTTTCTCTTATATATGTATGTAAAGTCTTTTTATGTTACAAAATTATCGTCATGGGTAAAGAATATATTTATAAAGTGTATCCAATTTGAGATTTTAAATGATGTTTGAAATTGAAAGTATACGTATATATTCAAAAATATTTTTCTACAGTTGATACAAGTGGATTGTCATGGTAACCTTCTCGCTTGGCCGGAAAACACCATCTCCGAGGAAGTTTACTTCTCTTATTTATTATGGAGTCGCACACATTGGTTATGTGATATAATAATTGTATTTATCATTGTATATCAGTGTACCACAATGGATTTTCATAATATATAAGTGTCATATAACGAATATTAACATACACTTGTGTTTGTATGTATCTTCACTATATTTTTATTTTGTGACATAGAGAGAATTAATACATATATATTGAGTGAATGCACACAATTTTTATCGTGATTATATATTTTGATATAACTAAATTAAGTGAACGTATAAAATCTATACAAGTCGGTACCAATTGAACAATAGTAATGAATGAATACAAGAGACATTAGAACGAATAAACACAATTGATACAAGTTGATAACAATTGAAATGATAAGAGTAAATGAAACCCAATAAATAAAGAAAAAATTACTGTCAATTCGAAAAACAAATTTCAAAATAGCTTCTTCGTATGTTGTTGACAGAGACAAGAATGTTGTTGAAATAAAGGAGAAGATATTGACCATAAGAGAGGATATTGATCTGTGCAACATTCCCATAGTGGGCATGGGAGGTTTAAGAAAACAATTGTGAGAGAATTTTCAATGATGAACAGATCGAGAAGCACTTTGAAAAGAGAGTATAGTTATGTTTACCTGAAATGACAAAATTAAGAGCTTTCTTGAACGGATCCTCGAAGCATTGACTAAGAGGAAAGTTGAGGTCCAGAGTAGGAATATAATAATCAAGAAGCTCTGAGATGAACTAGCAGAAAAAAAAGTATTTATTTGTCCCGGAAAAAAGGTATATCTATTTAATAAAAAAAATTATAATTCTACTCATAGGTTACTATGGTAAATCAAGTCAAAATCCATGAACAACAGGCAATTACGTTATGTAAATTTTCATTTGGACTTGTCAGAGGAATGCATTTTTGTGATTGAAGAATTTTCACATCACTCGATACCTTCTCCATTCATTAAAACTTTTGTGATTGAAGAACTTTTAACAAAAACAAAAGACAGGTTATGCAACGACTTTAACCAAATTTATTTTATAATACTTCTCTTATATTATATTTAGAAGCGAATTTAAAATATTAAAAAAAATTAATCTTTGATATCTACGTTAAAATTTGGTCTAATAAAATCAATTCGTACTCGACTCCTAAGGAGACCTACTTGCCATTCCACAAAATTTGTCGTTGAGAAAAGCTAGTACTCGTCTTCATCGTCTTCATCTCAGCCCTCTGTTTCAGAAACTTCAAGCACTGTAAATATCTAACAAAACTCCTAAATACGCGTTGTTTTCCAACTTTTTCCCCTTTATTGCGAAAGTTCCAATGACCCTACAATTTCAACAAAGCTTCAAAACAAAGTAGGCACAGAAAAAGAGGAGATTAGTTTAAAAAAAGAGAGAACTTTCTTCACAAATTACGACAACCCACTTAGTAAATCCACTTTATTTATCGACCCAGATAATCAATTGCGTGATTGATTGAGAATTAATGGAGGGGTTTGTTGAGGATCAGCGGTTGAAGGAGGAAGAAGAGATGATTGAGGAGAGTAGTGATGATTGTACTTCGGAAGACGAGGGAATTGATGATTACCGGCGGGGAGGTTATCATGCCGTTCGTATAGGTGATACGTTTAAAGGGGGCCGGTATGTTGTTCAGAGCAAGCTGGGTTGGGGTCATTTCTCTACTGTTTGGCTTGCTTGGGATACTCTCATGTCCGTATGTTTTCCGCCATACCCTTTTCTTTTTTACTCAGCTTTTAGGTGCTGTCGATTTGTTTTCATCTGTTAAATATTAGGGATTGTGGAATTGTAGAGGGAACTATGAAGACCCAAAACGGAATATGTATTGTTTTTGATTGAGATTCGATATCTATCTCTTTAATCTATTATTGTAATATCTGTCTGGTTGAGTTCTCTATTGAGTTAGATTTGTTTACTCACCTAATTGTGCATAAGCATGAGAACTAACTAGCAAAGTTCTTGTTAGAAGGACTAAGGTTTGCATTTTTGACTTGCTAGTGACTTTTTGTTTGTTCTGTTATTGTTTTTATCATAGCGAGTAGTAACATTTTTGTGTGTATGTTGTTGTCATAATGAAGCAATTTGTAGCATTGAAAGTACAAAAGAGTGCACAGCACTATACAGAGGCAGCATTGGATGAGATTACAATTCTAAAGCAGATTGCAGAAGGTGACCCTGAAGGGAGGAAAAGTGTAGTGAAGTTACTGGATCATTTTAAGCACTCAGGTCCAAATGGACAACATGTGTGTATGGTTTTTGAGTACTTGGGTGATAATCTCTTGTCACTTATTAAGTATACTGATTATCGAGGACTGCCTATTCACATGGTAAAAGAACTTTGTTTCCATGTTCTAGTGGGTTTGGATTATTTGCACAGACAGCTTTCTATCATACACACTGATCTGAAACCTGAGAACATGCTACTCTGTTCCACGATTGATCCGTATAAGGATCCCAGAAAATCAGGAGCTCCTCTTATTCTTCCTAGTAATGTGGATAAGGCTTCACTGAAATCTGGTACTGTGAAGGGACGTGTAACATTCTATGCGAATTTAACTAATGACCAAAAGAAGGTCAGAAGAAAGCCCAAAGAAACAGCTCAAATTGCAGGGAACACAGCTGTTGAGTCGTCTCAATCAAACACAGATTTGTCAAATGATCATCTTGCTGGTTATGCTAATGTTGATAGGTTGTCCAACTCTGATGCTGCAACAGCCAGTGGGAAAGAAAGTTTGGGTCCTAAGAGAGGCAGTGGTTCTAGAAGGAGGAAGACTTTGGAGTCAGTGGACCTAAAGTGCAAATTGGTTGATTTTGGGAATGCTTGTTGGACATACAAACAGTTCACAGATAATATACAGACGAGGCAGTATAGGTGCCCTGAAGTTATCCTTGGCTCTAAATATTCAACCTCAGCAGATCTTTGGTCCTTTGCTTGCATTTGTTTTGAGCTTGCAACTGGTGACGTATTGTTTGATCCTCACAGTGGTGACAACTTCGATAGAGATGAGGTATGGGATTATGAATGCACTACTTCCCCCATAGTTACTAGCATGTATTTTCATTTTTTGATTTTGTCCCAATGTCTTGTTTCTATGTTTCAAGGGAGGACTACGTATTTGACCTGATGCCTGGTTTGTTCTTTATTAACTATTTAATTATATAGTCCTGTCTGAAGTTTCTAAAAAAAAATTTTTTTTTGCCAAGGATGTAGTAGTAGTCTAGTTTAGAGATACTTGTTGCTTTTAGTTCATCTGGTTTTTTCCAGAAGCATGTTTATTATATTTAAGGACATGGAAGATTAACTATTTTATGGCTAAAAATGGATTAAAGACTGTTCACTTAGTTTATAGGCACTGCTTGTACATAATTGTATAATTTGCTATGGACTGATACATATTCAATTTTATGTGTCTTTTGATTTGGATAAGGTATATAGTACTTATAAGAGCTTTACTTATTTGAGTAGCATTCCGTAATGCATTAGGTATTTGCACAAGCCAGTAGTTATTTGTATGAAAAAAGTGGTCTAATTTGCATTTTTCTTGCTTCTTTGTGTGATGATGTCCTGTTGACTTTTGCTCTTCTATTGTCAAATATATCAAACATTTACGCTCTAAGTCAGGTCAACTCAGCAGTTCAAGTTTTGAAAGTTGAACGGGATTATTAATATGCTCTAAGAAAATCTGATGGCACTGCTTTTATAATTAGAACAAGATAAATCTTTGTTCCAATAGCTGCTTTTGTAGAAGTGGGGAGGGAATTATATTTGCTGGGTTCAAGAGTTAGTATAGAGTCTTCTATTTGTCTGTGCTTTACAATATCAATTGGAGCCTTGTAGAAAGAGATTTAAATATCCAAAATTCTAGCAGTTATACCGTGATCTTATTTGCACCCGTTACAGTTTTTCTGGAATTTAGTATATAGACCGGGCCGTTTTTCTTTGCAGATATCCACATCAAGCTCAAATTACAGCCGTATAATCTTTTGTATATTCGATTTTTTGGGTAACAAAGTGACAAAGAAGAGCAAAATATAGAGAAATTGTGTCTTCGCTATTCATTTGAATGGTTATATATAAATCCCGTTGACAAAGAGTACATGATTTCATGAGCTATAATCGAAGTTATGCTGTTACTTTTTTCCGCACTGCTTAGAGTGTCTCTCCTCTTTTGACTTTTCTGATCTATTTTTTTTTCAAAATGTGGATAATCATCACTTTTGTTTCATCCCTCTCTTACATTGTCTTTAATTGGACTTCTATTTGAAATATAGTGAGTAAAGAGAAGCTTGATATTATTGGATTCAACTTTTCATCAATGTTGAGATAATTCAATAAAACTTGAGGCTATGTGTCTTCTTCAGTCATAGAAGAGCGAAGTTGTATGGATTC